GGGGACCGAACTCCAGTCCTTGAGCTTTCAAGGCAGGTAGCAGAACCCCTGAGCTAAATCTTCGGCCCATGACCAATCTTTTTACCTGGGATTGAACTCATTGTCTTGCGCTTGCCAGGCAGGTGCGGCACCACTGAGCTACATCCCTGGCCAATCTTTTTGACCCTGAGCTATATACATGCTGAATTGAAGGAATTCTTTCTGAGGTTACAGAGGTCCAAATCTAGACTAAGTGATTAAAAAACTTGGTTTCATTGTGTACAGATATGTAAAATAAGCTCAGTGAATAGATTTCCTTTTTTTTTTTTTTTTTGTACCAGAAATTAAGCTCGGGTCCTTGTGCTTGCAAGGCAAGCGGCAGAACCACTGAGCTAAATCCCCGGCTTCAAAGTTACTTTTTAGCTAAGCTAACTCATTTTCTGTGCTGTTAAAGAAGAAAACATGAAAAATGTTACCTGTAAGTGGAATTTTCTTTCCATTTTGAGCATTTTATTTACATTGAGTTTTTTGGCAGTACTTTATGCCTGAGAACAGGAGTTTTTCATTTGAGTTAAACGTAGTTATTGCATAAATGTCTTCCTTTGTCATCTACCCTTTTCAGTTCTTTGCATTTTTTAGTTACACTTTTCATAAGAGGAAGAACAAACTTTGACTTAGGTCAGCTGGGAGAAATTTTTGGTAGAACATTTGTTTGTGTAAATTTTGCAGTACTGGGGATTGAACCCAAGAAGCACCAGGCTATATCCTAAAGCTCTTTTTATGTTTTTATTTTGAAACTGAGTCCCACTAAGTTGCCTAGGCTGGCTTTGAATTTTGAGATTCTTCTGCCTCAGCCTTCCAAATAGCTGGCAGTGTTCTTATTTAAATTTATTGTTTTATTGCATGCCTATAATCCCAGCACTTAGGGGGCAGAGGCAGGAGGATCAAATTCAAACCCATCATGGGGAATTGAAGGACATAGTTGCGACCCTGTCTTAATAAAAAAATGTAAGGGGCTGGGGATTTAGCTCAGTGATGCCACACCTGCCTTGCAAGCACAAGGTCCTGGGATTGATCCCTGGTAAGGAGTGGTAGGAGTTAAGAAAAGGGCTGAGGATGTGGCTAAGTGTGAAGGTCCTGGGTTCAATGCCCAGTACTGGGAGGAAAATTCAATTTCTGGCTAGTGTTGTCTTGTTTGAAAAGAGATTTAAGGCAGTCCCTTAGATTTATTTCTTTCCTACTTCCCCTTTGTGGTTTTGGTTTGGAAATACAGGGATAAATTAAAAATAGATTAGAAGCCAGATAGAATCAAGTTCAGTGTTGTGTTTCTCAGCCAGGAGAGATAGCACACGCCTGTAATCCAAGCAGTCCAGGAGGCTGAGGCTGAGGATCCACAGGTTGGGCCCAGCCTGGACAATTTAGTGATCTAGTGCCCCCCATACCCATCAAAACAAGCAAAAGGCCCATGGGTGTGGCTCACTGTAAAGTGCCTGGGTTTGATCCCCAGCACAACAAACTCGCAAATAATAAAACAAGAAAAAAAAAAAAAAAAAAAAAAAAAAAAAAAAAAAAGAAAGAAAGAAAGAAAAACCCCAGAAAAAAACCTTTGGTCCCAAAACTGCTCCTGATTGTAGCTAACTCAGTGGGGCCTTGTGGGATATTTTAAATTTTCAAGGAAAATAACGCCATTTGTTGGGCATTGGCCCAGTGACTGCTCTCAGGTTGTGTGACCTGCTTGAGAAACAAAATGGTTAGGTTGCTTTGTTTTGGGCATATGCATAGGGCAAAAAAAAAACTTACAGAGACAACACTAATAGCACAGAGAGCCTTTACGGTAATATGTTTGTTTGAAACGTTCTCACTGTGTGCTGCAGGCTGGCCTCCATCCTTTTGCCTCAGCCTCCTGGGTTTATAGCCCAGGCTACCGGGCCCAGCCCTTTCTGATAATATTGAGCAGTCATGCTACTCCCATTCCAAGACAAGGAAACTAACTCATAGTGGGCCGGTATTTGAAGGCAGCTCTTTGTTTTCAGTGTGGAGTTGTAGGTTTTATAAAACAGGTGTGTGGGTGTGGCATACCTCCCTTAATCACAAGACACTGGGGGTCTGAGGCAGGAGGACTGCAAGTCTGAGCCCAGCTCGGGCAATTTAGTGAGACCCAATCTTTTTCTTTTTTCTTTTTTTTCTTTCCGGTACGGGGAATCAAACTCAGGACCTTGCACTTGCAAGCTAAGCACTGTGCAACTGAGCTAAATCCCCAGTCCTCCAGTCTCGAAATTAATAACCCAAAAAAAAAAAAAAAAAACCCTAGGCAATGTTTTAAAATTAAAAGGCTGATTTAAAAATCATGGTGTAGGAATTTTCAGAATTTCCTAGACTAGACTTTTTGGTTTTTTGAGACACAGTCTCTCTGTGTAGTTCATGCTGCCTTTGAAGTGTTGGCAGTCCCCCTGCCTCAGCCTGCTGGAATCACAGGCATGCACCACCATGCCCTAGACTAAACTTTCAAGGTAGAATAGGACCACGGAAGAGTATGACAAGTGAGGTTCTCCGTTTAGGTATAAGATTTAAAAGAATACAAAAAGGCTCCAAAATTACTTGTATTTTTATACATCATTTTGAAAATAATGTATCAGAATTAATCCAAAAACAGTTGATTGTGAACAAGATACTAATTTTAAATAAATACTTGGAGCTGGGTGTGGTGGTACATGCTTATAATTCTAGCTACTGGGGAGGCTGAGACAAGAGGATTGCCAGCCAGCCTAGGCCACTCAGTGAGAAACTGTCTCAGAATAGAAAAGGCTGGAAATGAGATAGAGTGCTCAGGGTGAAGCACCGGGGCCACCCCAGTATAGAAAAGATGGGCAGTTGCACTCCAGTGCAACCTTGCACTTGTGTGGCTACCACCACTCGTGTCATGCTGATTGTGGCTCTCAGCATTACCATTAAATTTTTCTCTTTTTGTGGTGCTGAGGATCATACATTAAACTTTTATAGTTCTGACTTCGAATTTGCCATGGAAGGCTTCTGTTACTCAAGAATAAAAGTTTTAGGGCCAGGGATTTAGCTCAGTGGCACCATGCCTGTCTTGCAAGTACAAGGTCCTGAGTTTAATCCCCATTATCAAAATAAATAAATAAATAATAAAAGTTTTAATTCCGAACTCGTGGAAAATGAGGGGAGGTTGGGGGAAATTGTAACACAAAAGGTGTGATTACTAATGGAATCAAGTATCCCATTGACATTTTCACGGTTTTCGGGTTTTTTTTACACAGGGTCTTCCTGTGTAGTTCAGTCTGGCCTTGGACTCATGGTAATCCTCCTGCCTCAACCTCTTGAATGCTGGGATTATAGGCGCGTGCCACCATGCTTGGCCTCAATTCACGTTATGAAACGATTTCTCCAATTCTTAGGTCAGTACCTTACTAAACTTTCTTTTTCATAGCATGGCGGACACCGACCTGTTTATGGAATGTGAGGAGGAGGAGCTGGAACCATGGCAGAAAATCAGTGATGTCATTGAGGACTCTGTAGTTGAAGATTATAATTCAGTGGATAAAACTACCCCAGGTAACACACTTTTAGATTGTTGTTTAAAGTAAATTGAATGCTGTATTGGTTAAAGTATGTTGTGTGGAGATCAAGACCCAGGGCTGCCTCGAGGCAGCCCTGGTGCTGCCTTCCTCTCTCTCTTCCATGTTCTAGCCCAGGAGCATCTACTTTCTTATCAACAAAGGAAGAAAAACTATCTTTTTTATTTGTTTATTTTGTTTTGTTTTTGAGACAAGGTCTCACTGTGTAGTTGAGACCTCCCTGGAACTCCCTATGTGGCCCAGGCTGGTCTCAAACTCACAGGATCCTCCTGCCTCAGCCTCCCCGAGTGCTGGGATTACAGGTGTGTGCCACCATGCCCGGCTAAGAAAAATTATCTTGAAGTCACTAAAAACATTGAGAAATTGGATTTTCAAACATCTAGCAGTCCTCTTACCAAACCGTGTATGAATAAGAATATAAGGTGGTAGTGTGTGTCAGAGCTCATTTATGTACCTGGTCAAAGCACATTCCCACAGACTTGAGTTTTGTGTTTGTTTTTGCTTACTTGAACTTGGTTACCTTTGTGAGAAATAGCTTTGTGTCTGCCTTCATGGACGGTTTAAAAATTTAGGCTTGTGGGCTTTTCTTTCATAAAGGTGATATTGTAGCATCAAATTCATGATTGACCTGAATTCAGAAAGTAGGTGGTAGGGGTTTTTTTTCCTCTAAATTGTACCAGTTGTTCTCTTGAGACATGAAGATGGCATTGGTTTAGGCTGAAACAGGACACAGTACAGCATATTGTAGATGGCTTAATATGAATGATTATGAATACCAAGAGTGGTGATAATAAATCTGTGAGTCCTAGGGGCTTGCTAGTACTAGGTAAGTAAAACACGAAAATCCTGGTTCATTGGGGTCCGTGATCTAAATTAAATTAACCAGGAAATGCGAGACATAGAAGATGGGATTGTGTCTAAGTTGTGGACTGAGTGACAATTAGAAGGTGAATTTAGATGAACAGTTGGATTTATGAATGAACTAGGAAACTTTTTGGCTAAAGACACCCATAACAGTATGGGAAGGGAGGATTAGGGCAGTATCCTTTAGTGTCATCTGTCCCTGTCTCCAAGTGACTGTGCCTCCCCTTCCCCACAGTTTCTGTGAGCCAGCAGCAGGTCTCGGCTCCAGTGCCCATCGCTGCCCATGCTTCTGTTGCTGGGCACCTCTCTACATCCACCACCGTTAGTAGCAGCGGGGCACAGAACAGCGACAGTACAAAGAAGACTCTTGTCACACTAATTGCCAACAACAATGGTAAGTGGGATTATTGGGAAATCTTTCCTGGGGTAGAGGGGTGAGATCATTAAAAAGGACTTGGGGATAGTTAGGCCCTGGTGTGGAGAACGACTTCAGGAAGCAATGTGTTCTCTGATGAGAGGAAGTGGCTCTGTAGGTGGCGCTGTTCCTTCTAAGTTAGTGCTGAATTGGTGCTGTTTCAGGTTAGAGGCCAGCAGTCTTGCTGCTGCTAATTTCGAGGAGAGAAAATGTAAACCCAACATTCCTGACTGTTGGTTAGGCCTTTGGTTGATTGGTTTTTCTTTTCTTTTTCTTTTTTTTAATTAGAAGAGTCCTGTTTGTTTGGCAAGAATTTTCCCAATGCAGCTTGGCTCTGTTATTTGCTCTGGCAGGTTCTTTTGGTTGTTGGTTCTTGAGTACAGGAGATAGAATAGGGTTGTTGTCTACCTGAAGGAAATGGTGAGGCAGTGTTCCTGGTGTGTTTATCAGTACAGAGGACATGCATTAGTGGTTTCAGTTTGACTACTGGTAACATTTTCCGTACCCTGAAGATAAGTTATTGGCAAGTTATGTTTCAAGAGTCATAACAAAAAGCACATTTGTAGACTGATTACATTACTGGAAGGGACTTGGTAGGGACTTCATTTTTAATTATTTTATTTCTTTATAAATAAAAATTAGTACTTTAGTAATAATAAATGCATTATATAAAAAGTAGGGAAAAATAAAAAAGAAGGCAAAACGATTTTAACTGTTAATCCCACCACCAGGAGATGATATGATTCTTCCTTTGCATCTGTATGCTTTCATATACTTGTGTGATATGTATAGTGATGTGCTTTCTGCAAAAGTGGTTCACACAGTCAACGTTGATGTAAATGAGTATTCTCATTTTAGTAAAGTTATCTCAACAGTTTTTTGTTTTTTTGTTTTTTACTATTTCGCGTTATTTGATTGACTATTACTAGGTTATAAAAGGACACATTACCGTTTTAAGGGGCTACAATGAAAATACCAGTTTTTATTATCTTTTTTCAGGTCCTTAGTACTGAAAAAGTCGTGTTTTTGGACTAAAGGTCATCACAACAAGGGATATAGCTCAGTGGTAGAGCAGCTGCCTGGCATGCACAAGGCCCTAAGTTTGACCCTAGCACCACCAAATTGAAAAAAAAAGTCATCACCAGTTTTAATGATTTGGTCAGTATTGTTTCTGGATTGGCTATCTAGACATGTTGTAACTAGAAACATATTTACTTTAGAAGAATTATAGTGTTCTTATTATTGGATGTGAACATTTATGCACTCCCTTGTTTTTGGACATTTATTAAAGACCCAATTTTTCATTATTACAATAGTGTGATGATGAATGTTCCTGGGTATGTTTTTGCCCACTCTGTAAACATATGTGAATATACAAATGTATACAATCTGAGAGGATTGCAAGATCCAGAATTCAGAATTTGATAGATATTGTCAAGTTGCTCCAATAGGTTGCTCTAAATAAGTACCTAAGAGTGCCTCTTATCCTGTGTTGTAGCCAACATTAGGTCTTAGCAGACATTTTATTTTTATATTTATTTATTTTTTGGTACCAGGGATCGAACTTGGGACCTTGTGCTTGTGAGGCAGGCAGCAGTGCCACTGAGCTAAATCCCTAGCCCTTTATTTTATTTTTTTAGACAGGGTCTCACTATGGGGTTCAATCTGGCCTCCAACTCAAAGTAATCCTCCTGCCTCAGCCTTCCGAGTGCTGGGACTACAGGTGTGTGCCACCATGCCTGGCCATACCAGACCTTTAAAGCTTTATAATTTCTTTTTTTTTTTGGTACTGGGGATCGAACTCAGGACCTTGCACTTGTGAAGCAGGTGGCGGAACCACTGAGCTAAATCCCTGGCCCATAAAGCTTTATAATTTCTGTGGGGTTCATTTTTTGGATATTGAAAGTATTATTATCTCATGAGAAGTCTTTAAGCTTTAGGGGATATTGGATATTGAACCCAGGGCCAGGACCTTCATAATAAGCTATGTCCTGGCTCTTTTTTCATTTGGAGACAGAGTCTTACTGAGTCACCCAGGCAGGACTCAGATTTGCCTTCCTCCTGTCTTAGCCTCCCAAAGTGCGTTACAGGTGTGTGCTATAGTACCTGGTTGAAATCTTTCAGTTTTTTCAAAGAAACTTAATGGTAGATATTCTTTCATAGTTTTTTCCCCCCTTTCAGTGCTAGGGACCAAACCCAGGGCCTCTGCATGCATGCTAAGCAAGCTCTTAAGCTGCATCTCCATCCTGGGACCTCTGTGTGTATAAAGACAGAGAACCACCTCATTTAGTCCCTTTATTCTACAGGTGTGGAAACTAAGGCCTAAAATGTCTAAGTAATTTTGTTTTAGATCAGTTTGGTAACTAACTAAACTGGATTAGAGTTAATCTGGACTTCCAGACTTGTATTTCTGCTGTATTACATTGCTCTCCTGTGTTTCTCGTAAATGGTTAACAACAACTGATTTAGCCAAACTTTTCTTTGATCCCAGGGTTCCAAGATCCTATTAACATGGCTGAGCATCTCATGATATGCTGAGATCTCCTTGATTCCTTGGATATACCCCCAAAGCCTCATGCAGTTTTAGATGGAGCTTTTTCAGAGGTGTCTGAATCTAGAGTGTGTGATTACCAAACCAGTCCACTGATAGGTTTGGTACTGCCCTAATCCTAGTAGCCTATAGTATATAAAAGGGCCAAAAAGAGTCTTCTAAGGCCCCTTGTTGCTGCCGTGACCAGTGTCTCTGCCTGCCATGTGCCACTCTGCAAACTGTGAGCCAAGCGAGCCTTTCCTCCCTCAATTGCGGGTGTCAGGTGTTCTGTCTCAGCAGCAGGAAAAGTAGCTAAGACAACTGATAACTACAATTAGATCTGTTTTGTGTATTTTTGAAAACATTTTCAGATACAAATAAGCATAAATAGTCAATTTGTCTAGCTTTTCATGGGAGATGGTGATAAAATCCATACAGTTCTGTAACTTTCTTTTTTGTGATCCTGGGGATTGAACCCAGGGAGCACTAAGCTGCTTTTTTATTTTTTATTTTGAGACCAGGTCTTGTTGCCCAGGCTGGCCTCACACTTGTGACCCTTCTGCCTCATCCTGATACTTGGGATTACAGGCATGTCCACCATACTTAGCAAGCTCTGTGACTGTTTTCATCAGATCCTCTTGAAATATTAGCCTAAATGTAAGGTTGAAGCTTTAGATTAGAATAAATAAAAAGCATTCCCTCTTACAACCAATTCTCCTTAAAGCTTTCAGTTTAATTGCACAGGTACTGGTTCACTGTTGTGTATTACAATAACAACACAGTAAGGAGAAAACCTTTTAAGCAGATCAATGTTGTTTCACTTAGTGTACTAGGTTGGTTGGTTGGTTGGTTGTTTTTCAGAAAGTTCTCCCTCCATTATTGCCTATCTTCCCTTTTTTTTGAGTTGGTGCTGGGGATAAAACTTTGGGATGTTCTAACACTGAGCTGCATCCCTAACCTCTATTTATTTATTTATTTATTTATTTAGGTACCAGGGATTGAACTCGGGTCCTTGCACTTGCAAGGCAGGCCACCGAACCGCTGAGCTAAATCCCCGGCCCCCCTAACCCCTTTTTAAATTCGGAGACAAGGTATTGCAAAGTTGCCCAGGTGGGACTGAAATTTGGAATTCTCCTGCCCTAGCCTCCCTCAGTGCTAGGGATTGCAGACATGCCCCATCCTGCCTGGCTAGTAATTGTATTTCAAAAGGCTGTATTTCTTTGTGCATTGATTTTGGTTTCTATCATTTTCTTCGCCTTGTCTACACAATAGCATTTCTGGGGCCAGGGATGTAGCTCATTCGCACGATGCCTGCCTGACAAGCTCAAGGTCTTGAGTTTGATTTCTGCTACAGGAAGTAGGAGAGGTGTTCACATGGGAAGGGGAGCAGGAAGGAGGGAGGGAGAAAGGAAGGGACAAGAAAAAAGTGAAAATAAAAGGAAAAAATTGGAAACAAAGCTTTTGTACACAGGGAGAGGAGGAGGTTTGAGGGGAGAGGGGATTAAAATAAAATTTATTTTTTAAAAAAGCATTTCCTTGACCCATGTTCTTAAGGAAGTTTCTGATTTCCTCAGCTTTGGGCCAGGGATTTAGCTTAGTGCATCCGCCGCCTGCCTCGCAAGCGCAAGGTCCCAAGTTCGATCTCTAGTACCAGCAAAAAAAATAATAATTTCCTCAGCTTTGCTAAAATATAATTTGATAAATAAAAATTGTATGTATTTATAGTGTATAATGTATCTTTTTCTTGTGAATGAAATTTTTTATATATTGTATCTAGAAGTAGATACATAAATAATTTGTAGTCTCTTGATATACATGGTGGAGGATTAAATCAGACTAACTTTATCTGTCACTGTACATCTGTTTCGGGGGAGAACATTTATGGTCTGCTGTCTTAGCAGTGTTCAGATATACAATGTGTCGGCCCCCACTCAGGCAGAAGAGAAAAACTTACCAGGCAATAACAGTTGCACACCCTGCAAGGCACAAAGGATAACAGGAAGCCAGGGCCTGGGTTCAAGGTAAGCAGCCTGCCCCATGCAGCAGTTCCTGCAGGTCAGGACATCCCTGGAGACCACCAGCCTTCCTCTGTCCCAGAACAAAAGACTCCCTCCACTCCAGCACAGAATTTCCCACTCCTCCTAGTACCACCCCTCCCTCACCCCAACTCCCCTCTGAAGTTTCCCCTCACCCAGGCCCCCTGGATCAATGGCTTTATCGCCCTTGACTAGCCTGCACCCAGGCTGGAAATAAAACTTCACTTGTTGCTTCATTTTTGTCTGCTCTGGTGGTCTCGGTCGTGCCTTGGTTTACCCTGACAATACATTCTTATTAACATGTCCATGTTGCACCAACAGCTTCCTCGTCTAACACTTGTGCACTTTCCTGTTGCCCCTCTCCCCCATAGTCCCTGTTAATCACCACTTAACTTTCTGATTCTGTGTTCTGG